ACATACGGCATTCCCTCCTAGACCATGACGGCTGTAGTAGCAGTGGGAGTTTTCATATTCCCTTTCCCATTATTTCGGTACAACAGTTATTCCGTATGTATGATCATATCAGCTAAATTAATCACAGTCGTTCTCTCATGCAACATCCTGCTTGGCGGGTCCTTTCTTTAATTTACTGCATAATGGCCAACGCAGCTTTTGTAATGCAATCAGGAGCTTGCAAGCCATGAATCTATGACTATGGACTTGGTTTACCCTACGTAATAAATCAAACGTTCTATGTCTACACGCAGACTGTTACAAGCGTTGTCAGCACCCAAGAAGTGGGCACGAAAAAGCTTCTTTTTGTCTTCTCATTCAGCTTAGCAAGGTAGTATGTACACTTTCACTCTGTGTCAGTATGAAGCTGCATGATTTCATTTTCCCCGAGGCAGACCATGTTTGCTTTACAACGTCTGTTATGACTTCCCGGCGTGTTTCCAATCAAATAGCTTTACATACAGGGAGTGAATAGGTCTCTTGTCAAACTCTATTGCTGTCAACCGTTCACTTGCATGGTGACTGGCTAAGACGATCATGATTGTGCTCATTCCAACTACTAGGCTTTTTGTGCTGCTACATATCGACCATGGCAATCAAGCTTAAAATACTCTGAATAATAAGCCTAAGATACTCAAGAGGATACTGTGAATTCTGGGTCTAGAGTAGATTGCAGGTACCTCCACATTAAGGTAGGTTTGGGAAAAACCCTAAAGACAAGAGTTATAAATTACTTGCTAATTGTTGACCCACACACGCATTATCTAACTCTAATCAGTGAAAGAAGCCTAAATGTGAATAGCCTCCGAAACCGTCCTGAGGCAAGCTGTGTACGTACTATTCAGGCATTTGTTGCTCTTTCAATATTTTATCAAAACCAAACCTCGTGAAAGCCTTTCGACTACCAGAACTAATTCGAAATGAACAATAAAAAAATAACATCCACTCATCAAATCCCTATCTCTTTTAGCTTTGGCCAATAAAACCTGAGATTCGGCATCCTTGTTTTATGTTCATTTGCGACTCAAACCATGAACAGCCAATGCATTGTGTTAAGTTTTCGCATTGTTCTAGGTTGAGTTTAGATTTCTGGTGGCTGGGATATATCGAACTGATGTAGTCGCCAAATGTGAACTGAAACGATATATTACATACAACTCATTAGTTCAGGTGACTTTCGGGCTGTCACTTTCATGCTTGTGAAACCAGTCTATATCGGCCATATCGACTAGATATCTGGTGATCCATTCGTCGAGCGTGTAATCTGATCATCAGCTACCCAGATATATTCTATGCCTATGAAAAACACCATTTGAAGGCGTGAAATTAAATAAAACAACGAAATACTCACTCGAGCCCACTAAAAAGAAGAGCACCAAAGTAGACAAGCAAAGAATGGAACTGTTCGACATTTTGACGAAGATCTTTGGTGCCGCAGGGCATGAACCATGCTTATATGTAGCGAGAATCAGTGACGCACACCGCCCGTGTTTTCATCACGTCGTCACTTGTCCCCCCTGAGATAATCTTGTAACACGATGTGTCATTCTAGTTGAAGCTACTTTACCGTCGTCTGACAGTAACCGTTGAGAATGACCTGTCCAGAATCTACAACTTGTTGGTGCTCGTTTACCGATCTTCTTTCACTACACTCAAGTGGTCAGAAAATGACGAAATGCAATGGTATTAAAACTGCACCCGAACTCGCCTGTTATACTTCTCCGTAGAAATACATATTGCACCACACTCATTATCTAAGTGTGTGAATTATTTCGCACGTGTATATGAAACCGACTCTACCATAAAAAGCATACAAAATAGTACTATTCTCAATGAAATTTTGAAATACATGATTCCTTGTCTCTTTGAAGAACTTTGGGCACCGTTTTCATGTAATTTTACTAAGACTGACTTACCCAGTACTATGCTAGTCTCTATTGGAAACTGATGGTCAACGTCCTAATCGTCAGAATATTCCCACCTGATCTCTTCGAATGCGAAATTCCTCAGGACGTTCACACGAAAAACACGAGTCATTGTCATCCCTCATGTGAGAGGGAACATTTGGTATTTGGGAGGAAACCACATGTATTGAAGGATATCTTTCTTAGATTTGCGTAACCATAGCTTTACATATTGTAAATGCTGAGTTCCCAATACGATTCCGAGCATCAGAAGAAGGAATTGAATTCAAAAGTCTACGGTACTAGTTACAAACAAGTAGGCAAAATTATACAATAAACCATAATTATATGTGATCGTGGCGTCAGCAATGCACAATTACGTCGCACCAGAAAACGTTTAGCTGAATGTTGGCTCGGTTATGTGGGTTGACGTCGCCACTTTGGTGATAGCTCCGAGATGCTTGCTGGCAGTGCGATGATCCACGCGTCATGGCTGGGCACCGCTGGGCACATAGCACAAAAGCAGATGTGTAAGTGAATGAAGAAACTGTCGTCTGTCAAATTATATTCAGTAATTTAGTCTTTATTGGAAAATGTTGGTAGGATTCCGGAAATTTTCGAACATTCGTCTGATTTCCAGTCGCTCGGGATAATCCTGCTGTTTATGACTTCAGCTTAAGGGAACTATTGGTTTGATTTCACACTGCATTTAATAAACTTTTGGTTTGTGATGATCTAGAGAGAAACGTGGTTGTGTTCCACAAATATTGGTGTGATACGGTTGACTGAGTTGTACGGCTGTGTAAATCTGACTGCATTTCAACGGCATATGAGTCAGAATAAATGGTAGAGTAAGATGGGATTCCCAACCACTTATGACAGTTGTTCATCCAAAAATCATCAGATGGATAAACGGACATCAAAAGCGATATCTTAACCAGATGGACAAGTACTTGGTCAGTGTGTAACAACGTTGGTATGTAAGTTGACCGCAGGCAGGTATGGAGATGCTACCATAAGAACTGCGCAATGATGATGTCTCATGGATTGGTGAAGGAAGTTTACAAGTAAAATACTAAATCTTTTGAGAAGATCAACAACCACATGGTTAACAACTGTCAGCTAATAATTTTTAAGTATACTGGGGAAACTTCAGAATAAGCTGATTGAGGATATTAGGCCAATCTATGTCTTTCTGCAATATGTGATAGAAAAGCAACCCGTATGAGAAATGTGGTTTCGTCTTTGCCGTATACGTACTTAGAGCCACAGCTAAATAGGCGAAATTGTCTTTTGTCGGAGGTGCAGGAGTCTGAGGCATTTTATCGCTACCACAAATTGAATTAAGGAACAACTTCACTATGACTTTTGAGACGGAGTTAAGCCTAGAACGTGTACCGTCTGAACAAAAGCAGGTTGATAAATGCGTAAAACCTGAGGTTAACCACGTTTGGTCATCCCATAAAACTACTTCCAAGAGGTAAGGCATTACAGTTCAGACTCGCCAACTACACTGCCCTGAATTGTTTGGAAATATGTTCATGCATCAGCTGTTCTTAACAGGTACTTATAACATTATGCGTGTTCGAGCGTTTCCCGGAGACATATTCAATAGGCTAAATCCAGAGAATTCCGATCTTAGGGACACTGGTTGACAACACTGCACCATACACAAAAACTGACGCGAAATCACCCATGACACGATAACTAATGAAAGTGTGGATTCCTTGAAGTGTTTATCACTCGTTCACTATATGAGTGCCACATGTGACAGTCCGAAGACTAATAAGTTATTAAAATGTTGGTATTGATTTTGAAGTGAGGGTCGCCATCAATAATAGTGAAGTTGGTTAATCAATCCAGCTGTTGGAGAGCCGTTAGTGACGAGGCTGAAGATGGGAGAGGGTGGTACTGTGTTGTCCAGAGTTTCCATCAGTCATATGAATTATAATGAAGCACACTTCTATGTCATGAATAATTCAAAGAAATCCATACACAACAAGAACCGTGATGCCAGAAATACTTGCAAGATTTTCGCCCTATACACATATACATACTTCAAATTCGAATGTCATGTCTTCAAACAGGCAAAACGGAATCCAGTGCTCTAACCGATTTATTGATTTATCCTAAAAGTAATGTGGAAGTTAAAATACTTTACTACGAGTCATTAATCCGAAGATCAGGGCACGATAAATCAACGGCAAAAATTCTTTAGTATGAAACGGGCAGCGATAGATTTATTGGACGGACTGAAGAAGAAGGAAGAAGGACGGGCTGGTTGAAAAAACAAAACCACCTATCAAACGTCAAAAACTTCTATATCATATCTTTGCATGTAACTATCCAAAATAACATAGGCTGAATTTAGTGAGTATATCCTGATGCACGGAAGGTGCTTCTAGAGGCATAGCTTTCAACAACTAATTCACTCGGCCAGTAAATTGAAATCGACTCTTTCCATGTATTGCTATGCGCGCGTGACCGCCAACTCATTGGCAACAATAGCGCAGACCTGAAAGGTGAGCACAAAGGACCAGAAAGAAGATCCACTATGAAGGCTACGTAAGTCACGTAGGGAGAACGGAGAGACCAAGTTTCAAGACCTCTTGGATACCCAACAATCAAGAGATAGGTCAAACAACAAGCCAACAGTAATGCTTATCCCAAAAATCAACAATCAGCCCAGATCAGCCTGAGTGCGTAGACCTTATCTCAACTAACTCAAGCACAGCCTATACACACTTCTAGCAACAACACATCTTCGCTTGCAACGCGATTGCACTGGCCCCGACTAATCAATAAAAGTTTGTGATCTAATTTTCGAGCTCAGCGAACAAATCAACGCCCATTGTTGCTACTGATGCCACCGAGATTTCCTTCAATTGAACCTCAGGTAAAGCTGTTTGGAAATTTGTCTACGGAAACAGTTGCCTAGTAGACAAATGAAATTCTCGCTATGCGTGCTTTACCAACAACAAATGTTCTTTCTGAACCCCTGGTGTTTAAATGGATGATAGGAATCAACATACCAGTTTGTCGGACAAAACAAACTTTGCAACAAACAACAGAACCAAAGTTCGAGCCTTGAGCCACGGAAGACACGTGAAGTTTGTCTGTTTGTATCTGGTTTATTCTATAGAGGCATTAAGCATCAACAAATACTGCATAACTACTAGTTCCGAAACGTTTTTTTGTCAAAAACGGGTAAGGATTTCCTAAACTAGCTGCTCCACAATGTAGCTATTTAGGGTTGCGTCGGAAAGTGATTTTTTAGGGACGATACACTTGCTTCCAACTCTCTTATGCTTAGTACCGTGTCCAAGTTGTAGGTCAGACAGCTTCCTCAAGAGGGACGTGATTCTAGTTCTGAAACTATAAGTTCTGACCTTGCCATTTTACTGGTGCTGATCACGTTGATCAAATGCTGATCATGAAGGAACGGTACAAAGCGGATTTCTGAACTCTATGACAATGAGGAAGTTAAATTCCACATATCCGATTTTTGAATTCCAACACAAAGGAGTAACATCAGATTAGGAACAGCTCAGTATGTTGGGCAAAATTGACTTTGGTGTTCATGGAATTTCTAACCGGATAAAGATCACCGAGTTGAGACCGCATCGAAATGGTCTGAATCAATACATCAGTAACGAGGACGGGAAGCAGCTTTTGCAATTTTTGTAGATGGTGTTTAGACACCATTGTGAAGCTGAAAGCGAATAAGTATAACTTAGACCTTCGTTTGCATCTACGAGCAAACGTAATTGAATTTAGATTGACAGAGGCATGAAAAACTGTGTTGCTACGGCAACACGTCACGAATGGTAGTAACAGTGACCCTACGCTTCAGGGACACATAAAAACACGGATTTTACTCTCATAATTATTAGTTTCCCATATATGCGTTGATCTATTGCGACACATCAATTGATTCTGCTACTCTGTTGTCTGTCGCATGCGAACACAAGTTTGCTAGACATATGGACAGAATCATTCTATTTGCTTTTTCGTTCTAACTGGCTTGGTAAAAACTTGCTAATTAATTACCTAATTCATTACTTAATAACTTTCCGGTAAATTAATTGATTACTTCAAACTACCTTAATTGGCTTTGATCAAATTACTTTTAATTCATTGGATCAATTAGTAATTTCTTAATTAATTAGATAACCTTACTACTTGAAAAAGCTGCTAGAAATTCCGGCGACCAGAATTCGATCGACTGTTTATTTCATCACCGGCTGGTTGTTGAACTGGGGGCCGTTGATGTGATCACTGAGCTTGGCAGTCATCTTTAAAGCAGTTCGCTCCCAGTCAAAGAGATATCACCAGTGTGCTGCTGGGTGCGGTGAAGTTTGCAGAATGAAGCGAAACCTGAAGAACCTAACTTGAAACTCTACGTTTTCTCTCGTAGAACCATCAAACCAATAACGCGACCAATAAAGAGGACAAGAATTTCGATTGAGGGACGGACTACAGTCATTCTCGTTCTATCCTACCCTACTGCTAAA